ATTGTTTTTGTCTCAAAAGGTAGGAAGATATTTGAATATATTAGTAATACAGAATGTAATTCAAGGTTAGATTTTGCTGCACCACTTGAGGATCTGTGGTTGGCTGTTCTAGTGATAACGAGATGGGATGAGTCCAGACAGTGAAAAGAATAAAGTTTTCTCTTGAAGAAATCTGTTTGTCTCAATATTTTTCCAGTGCTCTCAAATATACATGCCAATCCAGTGAGCAAAATAAAACAAAGCAAAATAAAAACTAACGTGTGAGACTTTTTATACTTCCCCTCTTTGTCTTGGGATTCGGGGACTTTTCAAGCAATGTGTGATTCTGTACCCTCTGTAGCTGGTCTCTGCTCACAAATCTGGCTGCTTAAGTCTCACCTACACTTTCAGTCTTGCGCATTCCAAGGACAAATCTTAACTTTGGTGGGAACAATGTCAAGAACTCAGAACAATTAATAAGCATAAAATAATAATGTGACTTACTGAGCAAGAATTATGCTGGCAGTTTTATATATTCTCAATCCTCACACTGACCCGACAAATTCAATATAATTTCCCCTAAATGCACACATGAGGAAATTATTCCTTAATTATCCATTACATGCAATTGAGAGCATTGTAAAAATATAAAGGGACAAACAATCTGAGATCAAATTTATTTCCAATCATCAGGAGAAGCAATATTTTTAAACACTATTGAAAAGAAAAATATGTTTCAAATAACAATGTTTGAGAATGAATATCAATGAAATAGTCTTTAAGTAATACCTTCAAATATTATTTTGTAGATTTAATTTAATTTTTATCACAAAAAACATTATAATTTAGTAGAAAACAAAAAAAGAGAGAGTTATAAATAGCAGTTGTCTCTATGTCACATCTGTCATATCCCAATTTCCCAAACTTCTTATTGTCCAGTTCTGTAGAATAAGCCACCTGTCTTGGTCTATTTGTACAACAAATCTGTTTTATTCTATAGGGATAGAACAAGGGTAATTATATCAGAGACTCCCGTACGTTGATGATTACGGACCAGTGTTTATTCCTGATCTTCGCTGTTTGAACCTGATCTTCATTCACTGGTAATTCAAGAGTCAGTATTACACAGCACTGTACATTGTGGCCAGAG